ATCGGTGCTCGTACCGATTGCGCAACGAATCGCGGATCATCATCGCGGAATCATCCCGTTTCCCTCTCCCCTCCACTCTTTCTTTCTCGAAAAGTTGTCTGTTCGCGTCCCGCGCCCCGTTGAAATGTTACCNGCTAGCCACCACGCTCGCAGCCTTGAATTACTCGGGATTCGCGAATATTTGTAAAATTAGAATCTTCCGTTTTTCCCGATCCGATCTCTCCTTCTCCTCCTTGTCTATTGTCTCGAGAAACCGTGATTTTTTCTCTCTCTCTCTCTCTAATTCTTTTCGCGTCGAATCGTGCCTCGTTCGATCGAGGGGAACGAATGTTATTAATTTTTTAAGGAAGAAGGGAGGAAAAATGTGGTGGGAAGAAGACGAGGTTTCCGCGAGGCAATTTCCATTTGTAAATCACGCGGCTAAACAATCCCTGCCCCCCCCCTTCCCCTTTCCTCGCTAATGGAACACGGATGACGGATCTTAAAAAGTTGGCAGCACGCGCCTCGGGGATACGAAATTTGGAAATGGAATCGCGGCACCACCACGGCTATTCCCACCGGAGCGGCCGAGAAGGAGTGTCGAGCGAATGTCGGGGGTGGGGATTCCCGTGACCCCATCCCACCCGTATTTTTCACCCTCCATTTTTACGCCATCTTTTACGCCGCTCTCGAGATCCACCCTCTCTCTCTCCCCCTGCACGCTCGGTCTCCCCCCCTCTGGGACTTTAGTCCACCCCTTCCTTCTTTTCCTTCTTCGAATCGAGGTTTTCCTCTCGAAACCCCTTGGCCTCTCGCTAGAAGACAGAGTCCCTTTGATTGTTTTAATCAATAACGCTCCGATGATTCGACTCTTTCCTTTCGAACAAAGCGAGTACGGAACGATGAAACTCGCTCGATGAAACGATCGAACGCTGTCGATATATTTGCTCCCTCGTCGAAAATACTCGATTTTCTTTTTTTCTTTTTTTTTTTTTAGAATTTTTCGACATGTCGGACTTCTCAAATCGCTCGAGCTGTTTCGATTCGAGGGATGGCAGTGGGATCTCCGTCAACGGAGCGGCGTCTTATTCCTTGTGAACTTTTATAGGCAATTCGGACGACGAGGGGGATGGGGGAAGGAGTTTTTGTCGGTTAAAAAGGAACGAGAAGATGCAATTTCCTCGCGATGATTGGACGATTCGATCAGTCGTAACGATAATAGGATTCTTCTAGGGAACGATTCTTTTTCCTCCCCCTCCCCACTTTCCCCTTCTTTTACAACGCCAAAGACGTTTTGTTTTCACGGATCGATACTTGCAGATGTTTCTCGTTAGATTTCTCGATCAGAGGCGAGAAAAAAATGTAAAAAATTTAACACTATTCGAAATATTCGAAACGTCTCGTTCGCGGGTATCGTTGCGGTTCGTTCGCCTCGCGCGTGGAAAATAATTATCTATTTTTTTTTTCTTTTTCTTTTCGATGCGTCATCCCTCGAGTCACCCTTCTCGCAACCCCTCGAAGAGATTTTTAACGTTTCGCGAACCCTTTAACGTCTCCTTTAGCGTCGTGGCCCCGACGAGTGTAAGGAAACGCGAAAGGGCTGCAACCCCTTCGCTCGCGCGAGGCGGGAGAAAAGAAATTAGCGAAATTAAACGGAGGCGATATAGCCCCGCGTTTTTTGGGAGGAGGAGGGAGAGGAGGGAGAGGGTAGGCGGTCGCCAGCTTTCACGGAAACCGGTATTATTTGCGATTAATTATTTGCGCGAGGCGAAACGATTGGCATGGGAAAACGAGAGAGGGGTAGGGTAGAATTGACAGAGCGAACGGTTTCAAAGAAGCGTTCAAATTTCCTGTCGCCGACTAGCTTTTACAAATTTTCATTCGGGCCACGCGAAATTTTCTCCGTTTAAAATCAACTCGGTGGGAAAACGATTTTGTCGCTGAACGATTTTCAATTCCCTCGACGATCGATTTTTTTTTTTTTTATTTTAAAATTTATTTCTCAAAAAGGAGAANAGGCGCGAAAGATAAGGAGAAGATCACGCGCCTCTTCGACGCGAGAACGATCGGTTTTTCGCCAAATATTTTGTCGACGGAGCGTTCGAGCAAAGCGGAGTAAAACGAGAGAGAGAGAAAGAAAAAAAGGAAAAAAAGGGGGGAAAGAGGAAGAGAGAAACAAACGAACGTTTAATATTTCGGATCGTCTGGGTTGGCCGCGCGGTCGCGTATTTGTTAAAACGTTGCTCGCGAAAAGCGGCAGGGCCTGGTGGAAATGGAATTAATCTGTCGATGCGTACCGTGCACCCATTTAATATCCATCACGCGTTCATCACTGCAGAAGCAATCCGCCGGTTGTTCTCGCGCCACGCTGTTTTTTCTTCCCTTCTCTCTCGCGCTTCTTCCTTCGGCCCTCGTCGTCCTTCGTTCCTCTCCATCGGGGATTTTCGGGGGTGGTGTTGCCGCCGTTCCGTCGTTGCCGTCGTCCTATGTCCTCTACCCTACATACGCGCGGGAGAACGAGCGAGCGAGCGAGCGAATTTTCACGCGGTCACGAGACACGATGACACGAGGCCGATGACAAATTTTTAGCGTAGCATCTTAATGCGCCGCGCGCCCGTCGAAAACTGACCCCGCAGCTGGCCGCCTTAAAAAAGGGGGGTGGGACAGGGCCCGGAGGGAAGGGCGAGCCCTGGTCGGTGATGCCCCGTGTCCAGAGGTAGGGAAGGGGGGAGCAACAAAAGGGAGAGAGGGAGAGAGATGGACGGATTCCATCCTACCTATCTCTTCTCCAATTGCTCGAATACCGTTCCTCCTTTCTTCTTCTTCTTCTTCTTCTCCTCTCCCTTTCTTTCTTTTCCTTTTTTTTCTTTTCTTTTCTTTTCTTTTTTTTTTTTT